CCGCAGGCAGCCTGCCGCAGGCCGGCCCCTGGGCGTCTGGACCGAAGGGCGGAGGCTGCCGTGCGCGCCGTGGGCTTCGCGCCCTGGCTGGCTGGGGGGGTGGCTCCTAGGCGCGCCTCCGTTCGTGCCTGGGCCGCTGCCGCCTTGGGCTGTGGCTCTACCTTCCCGTCGGGGTGGGTTTGTTTGGTTGATTTCCTTCATCTCCCCACCCCTTTCTTCCTCCTTCATGCTCTTCCCCCTCCCAGCCCATTCACTGGGCTGGAGCGGGACCTCGCCCCTCCTCCGCTCCCGCCTCCCGGCTCCCGCCTCCTCTAATGAGCATCTCTGCCTTGCTTTCAATGGGCCGGTGCTGCTGTCGCTGCTGCTGCCCGCGCGGGTTGTGGATGTTGTCGGCTCCGTGTTGTGATGACAGGAGAATGTGTGTGTGTCCCGGGCCCAGACGAATTGGTAGGTATTCACTTAACTACCTGCGTTGGGTACCCAGAAAGGATGGTGACAGATTTTGTGTGTGGATGGTTTTAGGTGGGTCGGTATGGAGTTAAGGAATGAGATAGGAAAAGGGGACAAAGGCGTCTTAGACTGGGATTAGCTGTGATGCCTTTGTAGTGCATTTTTCTGGTAGCGACAAAGAAAACTAATCAAACAAGTGCTGGCATGGTGCTTCGTGTCTTCCGAAGGAACCCGGTTTCTTCATTCATGTAAAGATAACAGGAGCTGTGAAATGGCAAGGCTATTACCAGAAAATGCTGAAATATTGCGGAGAGTCTTTATGGAGAGTGTTTAATGCCATCGGATTACATAAACTGGGGTTCTGACACATTTAATGACTAGCACAGATTTTCTTTTTTCATTTGCTGCAGAAGCTTTGCAAAGCTAAAGAGCTCCGGAGTAGGTACATTGATAGCATTTTCTAATTACTGTGGTCCATGGACTTACTGATGAAGTGGAATCATTTCTTGGCACAGGCTCTGCCAGGCACCTCGTAGGGGTGGATGGGTCTCTTTGCTGTTTCTAGTTGCAGCTCATCTTTCTTTATTAGTCATTGGCAAAATCAGCCAAATCTGCTTAGGACTGAGATGCTTCGTATAATGTGACTGAGTCTGGATCATGAGGTAGGAACTTTCCCATGAAATTGTGATCAGACATAACTTGAAAATTTGGTCAGAAATAACTTCAAAATTTGACACTTCCATTTTACCAACAGCTGTACCTTGATGCTGTTCTTATTGCCTAATCAAGAGGCTTATATTTTGTTAATTTAGCAAGCTTGTCAGCAGGAGTTTTGATGTCACGGGGTTTTATTGCTGTTGAATGACAGGATTTTCAGAAAGAGTTTAAGAGTTTTTCACTACTCACTGTTTATGAAAACATTTGAAAGTACTTTGACTCCTAAGGGTATCTGATATGATGGAGAGAATGTATCATATGCACTAATAAAGATTGAACACACTCATTAATCACAGCAGGGTTTTCATGAACTCCAACTTCCCTAAGAATTTTATCTTTGGGAGTTGGGAGATCAGACTACAATTTCAGTCCTTATGCTGAACCCCCGAATAGCTGAACAGTACAGTTGATACACTTCACTCTGTGATTTTTTTTTTTTTTTTTTTGTATTTCATCTCGAGAAATTTTGCCTTGAGGGAAAAATGTAGTTGAGTATTTGATTTAAGTATTATTCAAAGCACCTGCTGCATGAATTATTAGCTTTTTGGTGCAAGGTTTCATTCATTTTGCAGTCAACTACAAAAGTAGAAAAAAATGTTAGGATGAAGGAATGTGAGGAAAGCTCAGATGTCCTGAACTTGTTATTTCTTAATTAGGCAATCAAACCCTGTTAGGCATCTATCAACACACACACACACACACACACACACACACCGTATTTTGAATCAGTTTACATTCCATACAGGCACATTTTTTCCATGTGAGATTCCTAAATTTTAAAGAGCAAATGCAGACATAAAATTATGAAGAAAATTTATTTTCATTAAGAGTACATGTGTTTACATTTTTAATAATAGAAAATCTTTATGCAAAATATAAAATGAGTTGATGTGCTTTCCGTATGCAAACCTAAAAAGAGATATGGTTTATGTCTGGAAGCTACTGTCATGTGGCTCAACATTTGAGCACATCTCCTTCCTGGCTCAGTCATGTACACTTAACCTTTGGATGACTTTCAGGTATTCAGTTTGCAGTGCTGTTATTTAAGTGGTTAGTCTGATAGATTCCTGTTCTTCTGGAATTTCTGTTTTTCATTTCTGTGTTTCAGGATGCTTATTTAGTTACGAATTCTTATTTCAAAAATTATAGCCATCACTTTTTCTTGCTGTACTTGTCTTCATTTTCGTAAACAAATTCCTTCTTAGTGTAGTTAAAATAATGATACTTTCTACCACTTGAAGAAGAGATTCTGAATGACTGGCTTATGCAGTGCTTATTACAGAAACAAACAAGAATCAGTGATTACTCAGTGTTTAGTTTTCTTTGCCTCTCCCCCAATTTAGCACTTCTCAAATTACTCTTCAAAAAAAGGTACATGGAAATAATTTAATATGTAGCTAACACTTGCTGTGATATTTGTAAATTCTTTTTTTCTTAATGGGTTCAGCCTTGGGAAGGAATAGTTTGAAGTTAAGACTCATTGTTTTATTTTCCTCATTTCTTTTTGTTTATTGCATTTGTTTTCTTATTTAAAGTATTTCCAAAGTCTGTTTCTTAATAGTACAAATGAATACTTTGAAGCTGTATCTCAAGAATTTAGGGAAAATACAGGTTATTGAGGAAGGAAAGTGATTTTTTTTCTTGCTTAAATGATTTGGATTAATGATACACACTCATTAAATTTTCCAGATAAATTCCCAGCAAATTATTTTCATATGATATAGTGAGTGATATGATTTTTTAAAGTTTATAATTATAATGCTGTACCTTTTAAATCCAAATTTTAGATTATTATTTAACTGTACTTTACTGCTTTCCCACAGCAGATAGATACCTTTTTTAATGTAAGAGAAAACATTTTGTCTTTTTAATTTATAATCGACACATAATTATATATATTTATGGAGTACTGTGTGATGTTTCAGTGCATGTATACATTGGTGTATGTTGGGTAATGATCAAATCAGGGTCCTCTGTCCAATAAAATATTTTTCTAGGAGTTAATTCTACTTTGGTTTCACAGTAGATGAAAATAATATTTCTACAGCTTTTCTTTGTGACTGCTAAGCGGGAGACAATGATAGCAAGTAAATTAAATTTTAGAACTGAGACTATTATATTACTAAGAGAGTTTCAGCACTACTAGAATACTTTTTTTAATCATGAAGGGCAAAGTAAAATTCAACAATGAATAAATGAAACCTGCATTTATTCAAATCTGCATTTCAAAGTCTCAGTTCAACAGGCATAAAGGCATGAATCCTAGGAGAGGACTTAGATAGCATCTGCTCTGATGTGTTCACTTATAACTTGGAAGAGTGAGATCCAAAGATGGGAGCTGACTTTTCCAGGATTATTTGGGAGTTGGTGGGAGACCTTGCCCCTTAGCCCACCCAATTGGCAGAGTGGTCTAGAGAGGCAAGTTTTGCAAGACCATTTACTGGGGTACAGGAAAGAAATATTTGAACTTCTGTTTTTATTTCATTATGTAGAAATTCTCTGTATACATTACAATGCACATTATATTAATAATATGTATATATAGCTTACAAGTAATTTATAAATATACGTATGTTTGGGCTGCAACTTAACACTTTTTGGGCGATAGCCACGTATAATCTAATGCCAGCAATTGACCACAAGTCTATAAGCAGGATCTTCATAAATGGAAGCAGTCTCTGTAAAATGGGAGATTTCAAGGCCCTTTTTAAGGATAGAGAGGGAGAAGAATGATTGGTCAGGTAGACTGCTACTGCATAATGTTACATAACCTTCATCTTCCCAGCTTTCCCCAGCCAAATCTGTTGTACATTCTGCACAGTTTGTGCTGCAGAAAGAAATATGAAGAAAAGAGAAAATTAAAGCTGGAGTACAGGAGCTCTGAGTTTAGTCCAGTCTGTGTGAATGATTGGGAGCGGTAGATGTGTGTATAAAATATAGTTATTTCCTAGCACAAGATGTAGCATGTAGATTGACTTGCCCAATATTGGCTATAAAAGCAAAGCCAGATGAAATTATCTGAAAGGTAACTATGTGTATACATCTGTCTAATTTGCTCTCTAGGAATCCCAGTCAGAAGTTCCAGCCTACCACTGTTCTCTGATGCCATGCCAGCACCAACTCAACTGTTTTTTCCTCTCATCCGTAACTGTGAACTGAGCAGGATCTATGGCACTGCATGTTACTGCCACCACAAACATCTCTGCTGTCCGTCACCCTACATTCCTCAGAGTCGCCTGAGATATACACCCCATCCGGCATATGCTACATTTTGTAGGCCAAAGGAGAACTGGTGGCAGTACACACAAGGAAGGAGATATGCTTCCACACCACAGAAATTTTACCTCACACCTCCCCAAGTCAACAGCATTCTTAAAGCTAATGAATACAGTTTCAAAGTACCAGAATTTGATGGCAAAAATGTTAGTTCTGTCCTCGGATTCGATAGCAATCAGCTGCCTGCAAATGCACCCATTGAGGACCGGAGGAGTGCAGCAACCTGCTTGCAGACCAGAGGGATGCTTTTGGGGGTTTTCGATGGCCATGCAGGCTGTGCTTGCTCCCAGGCGGTCAGTGAAAGACTCTTTTATTATATTGCCGTCTCTTTGTTACCGCATGAGACTTTGCTAGAGATTGAAAATGCCGTGGAGAGTGGTCGGGCACTGCTACCCATTCTCCAGTGGCATAAGCACCCCAATGATTACTTCAGTAAGGAAGCATCCAAATTGTACTTCAACAGCTTGAGGACTTACTGGCAAGAGCTTATAGACCTCAACACTGGTGAGTCAACTGATATTGATGTTAAGGAGGCTTTGATAAATGCTTTCAAGAGACTTGATAACGACATCTCCTTGGAAGCTCAAGTTGGTGATCCTAATTCTTTCCTCAACTACCTGGTGCTTCGAGTGGCATTTTCTGGGGCTACTGCTTGTGTGGCCCATGTTGATGGTGTTGACCTTCATGTGGCCAATACTGGCGATAGCAGAGCCATGCTGGGTGTGCAGGAAGAGGATGGCTCTTGGTCAGCAGTCACACTGTCAAATGACCACAACGCTCAGAATGAAAGAGAACTAGAACGACTGAAATTGGAACACCCAAAGAATGAGGCCAAGAGTGTGGTGAAACAGGATCGGCTGCTTGGCTTGCTGATGCCATTTAGGGCTTTTGGAGATGTAAAGTTCAAATGGAGCATTGACCTTCAAAAGAGAGTGATAGAATCTGGCCCAGACCAGTTGAATGACAATGAATATACCAAGTTTATCCCTCCTAATTATCACACACCTCCTTATCTCACTGCTGAGCCAGAGGTAACATACCATCGATTAAGGCCACAGGATAAGTTTCTGGTGTTGGCTACTGATGGGTTGTGGGAGACTATGCATAGGCAAGATGTGGTTAGGATTGTGGGTGAGTACCTAACTGGTATGCATCACCAACAGCCAATAGCTGTTGGTGGCTACAAGGTGACTCTGGGACAGATGCATGGCCTTTTAACAGAAAGGAGAACCAAAATGTCTTCAGTATTCGAGGATCAGAATGCAGCGACCCATCTCATTCGCCACGCTGTAGGCAACAACGAGTTTGGGACTGTTGATCACGAGCGTCTCTCCAAAATGCTCAGTCTTCCTGAAGAGCTTGCTCGGATGTACAGAGATGACATTACAATCATTGTAGTGCAGTTCAATTCTCATGTTGTAGGGGCATATCAAAACCAGGAATAGTGAGTGGATCTTACTTTGGCAATTCTCAAATGATATAAATTTAAAGGGCAGACAGATTTTTTTTAAAGATATTAATGTAATACACATTTCCAGTGGGTCATTCTAAGCATTTAAAACCCCTTTGATACTGTAGCTAGTCAAGTACTCCAAATTGGCTTTGCAGCAGGGTGACATGAGAAGTCTGGTTCTGTCTAGGTCAGACCTCATGGCATCTGCACTTGAAGCAAGTAACTTCCTTATTGCAGGTGTCCTGAAACATTGGCTTTTACTAACCTAAGAAAATCAGAATGACCTGGCAAATAGGATCTTGAATAGGCCAAAAATAAGGATCTTGCTGGATGTAATCTCTTGGTAAAAGGGAAGAAATATGCTGTTCACACCTGCAAACCCCTTTCTTCACTAAGATTCCAGTGTACATGAGACACATATTTATTGCATGATTTTCTAGGTATACAATCTATGCATTCATATGAAATTCATATAAATTTATTTTAGCCTGAAGTGGTTTTCAAATCCAGCACTTTAAGCCATAAATGACCAAGAACCAAGCAATCTGAGTTTGTAAGCTTTTGTGATTATTTGAAATGGAATACTTCTTAAATGGAAGAACTATATTCCCTCACCCACCCATGATTTCCCAATCTAATTCAAACATTTTCTATTTTGCCACACACTCGGAGACAATAAAGGTTTTTAGTTTTACCTACTCTTATATTGATATTAAATACAGAAAAAAAGATTTTTTAATTTGTATTCATGAAAATCTTTATTTAGTTTGAAATGAAGAGGTCCAGAAAAAAAAGAAGAGACTGACATGTTGAATTACTGTCATTTGTAGCCACCAGCACATCACTCTTATATAATCCCCAAAGGCTTGGCGTGCTGAAAGTGTGGTGGGTAGGCTGCTGCTGGGGAATCACACTTAGCTAGTTGTGATAAGAATTTTCATCTTTTTTGGAGTTTTAAAGATGATGTGTATTAAATAAGTTTAAATATCAATTTGGTGAGTAAGGTTGAATAATACCGGATATTGAGACAGGAGGAAGATTTTGTTTTTCCCCATTTAGACATAGGTCAGTTAAAATAATTTGTTTAAAATTACTAAGTGCTTTTGAACATATTGTAGCTTAAGATATATGTGTTAAGATATATACATGAGAAATTTTTAAGAGTATTGTGCATGCTTGATGCGTAATAGAACACTTAGTAGTGTCAAGTGTTTGCAGCAGTCTCCATTATTATATGCAGTCCCTTCTAATACTGTATCAAAGCAAATGAAAATAAATATATTCAGATTGGCTTATTGGTATGCATCAAATGGCATCTTGTTCCTGTGTTTAATGGTGATCTGTATACAGCTGTGCATATATTTTCATCACTTATAGCATCACTGTTAAAAAAAAGTGGCTATGATTATGTTTGATATTCACATAGATTTTAATACAAAACATGATCAGCTTTCTATTGTGTAATTAGGTAGGTGTTTAGGAGTCCTTTCAGATTTTTGTAGGATTTGATTAGATGTTCAAGGACTCCTGGACTGGAAGTGAATCAATGCAGTAATGGCTGCAAAATTTGTTCCAATTGAAAATAAGACTCAGGAAGATTGCAGCTCAGAACATCAAATGTTTGTTTTCTGAGGTGTTTATATTTTAATTTTTTTTTTTAAGTCAGCTTGGAACTTTTTTCCCAGGCAGTATTGGGAAGACTATATTGTATATTTATTTCTAAATGTTTTGGTGGGAACTTCTTTTAATGAAACATATGGACTGCTGTAGCAAAACCCATTTTCAGCTACTATTTTAATTTCTCTTGAACACCATCACTGAGGAGTTCCATGTTATTATAATACTGAGTAGTGTCTCATCTGTGTAGTACAGGGAATATAAAGTTGGTTTCCTGTGGTCATGATTAAAATGGTAATATTATTAAGAAACTTGGTCCTCAATCTGAAAGGTGATCTGCTCTGTTTAGAAATGAAAATGCAGCGTGGAATTGACATTGTGGAATTAAAATATTTGGGTGTTAGAAATCTGAATGTACTGTCATCTAAAAGCAATTGTGATTTTATTGTAATTGGTTGTGATGTGATGTCTAAAATTAAAGAATACGTGTGAACTTTCATGGTATTTAGCCTTTCTTAAATTTTTTAAAAGTGTAAACTTTCTAACATATGTATTCAATTTCTGTATTCATATTTAATCAGTGGCTCATGATATATAATATATCCTTAACTAGTTAAGTGGAATGTTGGTATGGTACACAGAAAACTGTCTTATAAAAGTTGTATCTGTATGAAGACATGAAAGTTTATATTTAATGTGGGAAATGGCCAGAGAAATATCCACAGTGAATTAAAGCTTCCTATCTGCTTTCTGAATGTCCTGTGTTGGTTTTTAATAATACTAAGATTCGCCGGACGTGATGATTCATGTCTATAATCCCAGCACTTTGGGAGGTGGAGGCAAGAGGATTGCCTGAACTCAGGGGTTCGAGACCAGCCTGAGAACATGGTGAGACCTCAACAATAAATCAAAAAATTGGCCAGGTGTGGTGGTGTGCACCTGTAGTTCCAGCTACTTCGAAGGCTGAGGCAGAAGGATCAACTGAGCCCAGCTGAAGGTTGCGGTGGCCATGACTGTACCACTGCACTCCAGCCTGGGCGACAGAGTGAAACTCCGACTCCAAAAATAATAGTAAGATTCATTAGATGCTTTCTGTGCTTTAGGATCTAGTAGATACATAGTACTTAATTTTTAAAATTGAGATATAACTTACATTCAATAAAGTGCACAGCTTTTAAATGTATAATGTTAAGATTTGGTACCACCACCCCAATAAAGATATAGAACTTTTCCATTACTCCAGAAAATCCCCTTATGTCCCTTTCCAGTTACTCCGTCCCCTGACATCTATCACAATACTTAGTGTTGCTTATTCTAGAAATTTATATAAATGAACTCATTTACATATATGTACTCTCTTATGTCTGATTTTTACTCAAGTTCAAGATTCATTTATGTTATTGAGTGTATTCACAGTCTATTCCTTACCTCTAACATTCCAGTGTTTGAGTATATCCTTGGTTCGTTTTGTCCTTGTGCCTCTCACAGTTTAGAAGGGGGTCTGGGTAACTGTTATCCTGCCTGTAGGCATACTTAATTCTGACTTTTTTCATAAATAATAAAACAACTATTGGGGAATTTTTCAAACCATCAAAAGCTGAGTCCTGTTAAAATTGATGCGGTGGTGCCTTAACTACCTCAAGCTGAATAAATGACACTTTAAAATTTTTTTTATTTTTATTTTTTTGAATCAGAGTCTCACTCCTTTGCCCAGGCTGGAGTGCAGGGGCACGCTCACAGCTGCCCCAGTGTCGATCTGCTGGACTCTGGCAATCCTTCCACCTCAGCCTTCCAAGGAACCAGAACTACAGGTGGGCACTACCACACCCAGCTAATTTTTTAAAAATTAATATGATAGAGATGAGGTCTCACCAAATTGGTCAGGTTGGTCTCGAACTCACGAACTCAGGCAATCCACTCGCCTAGGCCTCCCAAAGTTCTGGGATTAGAGGCTGAGCCAACTTTTTTTTTTGAGTCGGAGTCTCACTCTGTTGCCCAGGCTGGAGTGCAGTGGCATGCTCATGGCCACCACAGCCTCGACCTGGGCTCCAGTGATCCTTCCGCCTCAGCCTTCCAAGGAGCCGGAACTACAAGTACATGCTACCACACCTGGCTGATTTTTTTTTATTTATTGTGAAAAGGAGGACTCACCAAGTTGCCCAGGCTGGTCTCGAACCCCTAAGCTCAGGCAATCCTCTCGCCTCGGCCTCCCAAAGTGCTGGGATTACAGGCTTAAGCCACCGCCCAGCAAAATGAATATACTGATGAAATCCATGTGATCTGTGTGCCATTAACAATAGTTATCCAACGCACGTATATTAAGGAACACACGATGCACCCAGTTCCAGAAGAATGATCTTGGTTCACCTTACTACCCCAACCCAAAATGGGTGAGGGAAGAGTTTTCTATCCAAGGCCCTGTCCTGGAGTCACAAATTCTGTGCTTTTCTAAACCTTACTCAGTTGACCGACTTCTTGCCTGCAGCATGTGCTGATCAAACTGCACCATCCAGTATCAGTCCAGCGTGAGGAGGTTAGTGATCACATTCAGCCTTTCAGAAACCTCAAACCCCGGGCACTAAGCAACAAAAGAGCAGCCAAGAAGAGTCAAAGAACCAAAGATTTTTATCTTATCTGTGGTGGTTACTCTGTCTCTTTGAAGGACAGGACCGGTTTGATTGGCTGGCAGTGCTGCCTAAGAGGCACCTTCTAGCATGACCATGGAGGATGGGAAATGTGAAAGCTAGGAAAAATAAGAAAAGCAAAGAAAGGAAAAGAACAGCATCAGCAATTGTGGGAGTGATTAGGGAGGTCACAATGGGGTCAAGGGGCATTAGATCCTGATACTCCTGACCAGTAACAGGGAGGAGAACAAAGCAGAAGAAAGCAGCAAGTGGGATGGTGGTGAGGTAAAGGGTCTCAGAAAACATTTTTAAGCCCTTATAATTGCATGCATTTTATGGTATGGCAGCAGCGGTTACCATTAGTATGGTGCTTTAGTCTCAGTCTATTAAGAAGAAAAAAAGAAAGTCTTTGAAACTGACCATATGAAAGGGATCTGTGGTACCCAGGTAGATTGTTTTCTCAAAGAATTTGGCTTAGAAATTATATTTTCTTACTCCAAACTTGAGAATAAGTTAAATCACCCAATTTAGTCTGATGAAAACAGAGATGAGATTATTATGGCCCTGGTGTCAGAAGGAACAGACCTGTGAGACTGAGCAGACCAGAGAGAATGAGCTTTACTAATGCAGAGCTTTGCTGACTGCAAGTTCAAAACCCCATGGTCTTTGCTCGGTGGTGTGAAGATGGCATCAGGCATAACCAGAAAGCACACTGATGTTGTAGCCATAGAATTACACTAGCTGCAACTACTGTTTCTTGAGCACTTACTATGTGCCAAATCCTATGAAAAATACACTGTATGCTTTATTTCATTCTTGTACCAGCTAGTCTCTGGCCCCTCAGTCAGCCTTTTTTTTTTTTTTTTAATAAAGATATGGGGTACAATTCAGGGTTAGGTAGCCTCTCAAAAAAAAAAAATGGAATGCTTCACAAATTTGTGTGAAGCCTCTTTACTGGCTGTCTGCCCTGCTCTGTGGACCAGGAAGCCAGACCTTGCAGGCTGCAGCTTCCAGATTGCCATTTCAGTTCAACCAACAGGGAATACCAGCAGGTGACGAGGATGGGAAAAGAGAGAGACGAGGATAGTTGTTCCTTATCCCTTCCATGCTTTGGGCTGCACCTCCAGCCTTAGCTGTATCCCTCATATTGTAGTGCCCATGGGGCTGCCCTCTTCCACAATTCCAGAACTCAGTGGGCTCAGGTAACTCCCTGTGTCCTTCCAGCCTTAGGGTAGATAATGATTTCCTACTGTTGCTAGTGTATGGGTCCCCCACCAATCTTTGTTCCCTTGCCCTTACTCAAGCTTCTGTGAGAAATCCATTCATTTGAATCATCTAGGGTGAAATCAGTTTTCTGCCCAGACCTGACCAGTATAATCTTCAAAGCAAGCCAAAGTATAACCTCTATTTTGCCTAGGACAGAGACTAGGTAGCATCACACTCCAATCAAATCCATGTCTATTTATTTCAAAGCCTTCATATTCAACCACTGTACCACACTGCCTGGCCTCTCCATGTAACCAGAATGGAGAAGGCCTGAGGACTAAGTGGCCAATAAAAAGTGACCCCCTGAGAAGCAGCGGCAATGACTGATGTAGCCCAGCAGTTAGCATAGCATGTAGGACATGAAGCCCCTACAGATGGATGGGCTGTGCCAGGTGCAGGACATTGACAGAATTGTGGTATCTACTTATCTATCTCTCTGTCTACCTATCTATCTATGAGTTGGTATCTCACTCTGTCCCCCAGGCTGGAGTGAAGTGGCATGATCATAGCTCACCTCAGTCTCGATCTCCTGGGTTCAGACAATCCTTCTACCTCAGCCTCCCAAATAGTTGGAACTACAGGTGCCCACTACCTGGCTAACTTTTTTATATTTTCTGTGAAAACAAGGTCTCGTTTATGTTGCCAAGGCTGTTCTCGAACTCCTGAGCTCAAGCAATCCTTCTACCTTGGCTTCTCAAAATGCTGGGATCCTAGGTGTCAGCCACCACGCCCAGCCAGAATTGTGGTTTTATAGGTTAGAACTGGATGTGTGTCTCATATAGCAGTGTGTTGCAATGTACAAGTTTGTGTTTCTCAGTCCCCCATTTCATTTGTTAAAATGTTTATTGGATATTATAGTATACACTGAGGATAGGTGTCAGGGGTGAAAGGTAGGGGATCTGCCTTCAACGAACTCACAGTTTGGGGGGGAAAGTTACCTTTGTGTAAAAAAATTATTACCCTTCACTAATTAAAAATGGTACAGAAAATGGGACAAGTACAAATTCCAACAATCATCCAGAAAAGAGAGTGACTTACTGTATTCTGGAGTACCACAGGGACAAGCAGGCCCTAGAAAGAGCAGGAACAATGCTGTGGGCAGAGATTTGAAAGGTGAAAAGGGGTTTGCCAGGCAGAAAAAGACCTAGGAATGACTTTCCCAGAAGAAAGTTCTGTCAAGGCACAGAAACATGAAAGGGATTCTGTGTCTGAAGAGGTTGGAGTGCCTTTTGTATGGCTAGAATGTGCACTAGTGGGGAACTGTAGTGGGTGAGGAGGTGGAAAGGTAGTAATAACCGCAAAGCCTCAAGTAAACCCTTAGTGGCCCTGTAGCACTCTTGTAGCCAATATACCTTTAGTGATAGAACAGGTTGGGAAGGCAAAGACTGGCCAAGACAAGCATGGGTCATGAGAGAGGCGGGGGCAGGGGTGGGAAGAAGTACAAAGCAAGATCAACCGGTGCTATGCCAAGCTGAGATCTGAATTCTAGCCACCATAGGTAGGAACCAAGACTAATGCTAAATGAGGAAGGATTGGTGGTTAAGCAAGAAAACATCTGTGTTATTTACATATTGCCATTAGTCATTCGTGGGTCTCCAGTCATATTTAGTAACCCGGTGCTTAGTTCAAACACAATCATGTTTTCATTCCTCTCAATTCCTTGGATACTATAGTACAGTTACTGAGCACCACTCAGGTATTGGGCAACTTGAAAATCACTGAACTTGGGTAACCTTACCAGCCATCCATCAAACTCTTGGACCACGGTAACTGGATTGAATTGCCAGCCACCAGTTGGTTCAGTCCAATCTAGCAAGTGTTTATTGGGCACCTTCATTGTTTTAGGTAGGAGGGATATGTGATAA